TCAGAGTGACTGCATTTGTATTGTCAGGTGGCAGGAGATCGCATAATCTGGGAACAAAAAAAAATTCTAGAAAAAAAACCATCGGAATAGTTGCCTCGTCCATCATTGCGATAAGGTTGGCTACTGCGGGCGAATCATGTCCGCACATCCCACATTTCATGTCATTTTGGCCCGCAGTAGTCAACTTTCCTCGCATCGCGTTCGGTGACCTGGACAACATCTCATTCCATGGAAGTGTTGCTCTCTCTTCTGTTTATTATGCTTTGCAACGCTGTGACTACTTGTGAAGCCGCTAAAGTGTCGTTGCCTTTTGTGACTGCAGCACAAGCAGCAAGCCGGTCCACCATCGACTCGCGAAATTGTYGAACAGTTCTTTCGTTCACCGTTGTAGTTTTGATAACTTTCAATACGTCCTTGGCCGTCAGATCCTTTGTCGTGGTTCTTCCAAGAAATTGTATTACGGTGGTAGCGATACAACACACATAAACACCACAGTCCGTGTGATTGTTCTGTTGCGGGCATTCCGCATGCACAAGTTTACTTCCTGCCAGATCCCTGCATGTCACCCACAAAAAATGAACCTTTTCGGGTGTCAAAGCCTGCAAATTCGATGCCTCGTGAAGGTACTCGTGCCACAAAAGTGTTCGCAACGCCGTCCATTCGTCTCGTTTTTTTTCTCTCATTGAGTCAACGACGATAGCAATAGGAGGGTCGGATATGCGGTTGTCCGCAGTGACCTCCAAGAAGGACCTCGCATTCAGCAACAGAAGAAGAATTCAGTGTTTGTTACGGTTCACTGGTATCACAGTGACCGGCGCGCGTCGCAGTTCGTTGCACAGTCGATGCAATTTCTGTGATCTCTTCTTAATTGCGTCCTCCCATCCTTTTTTCGTCAATTTTCTAAATTTTTGATTGGCAACGACCTCGGGGTACCAGAAAGTTGTGCAGACGTGAACATAAGAGTTGTCCTGGCCCCGCCCAACCTCTTCATACACAGACTGCAAATAAATGTTAATAATATTGTCGTTCAGCCATCCGTCGTCCGACAACCGTTCAATGTCGGATTTTGATACGGGTATGGCGTGTTGCGGAGATTTCCATGTAAAAAGGAACAATTAGACCACGTCAGTGATGTCGGTCTGCTCATCTCTCGCTCTTGTCTTGTCCCCTGCTTTCCGTTTTCCCATACAACAGGAAGACTGTTCCCCGCAGGACTGGGGCCACTCTGCTGCACCCTCAGTCAGTAAATCGTACATTTCCGCGCACCATGGGTCTGATAACATGTCCTGCCAGCTCTGTGCTGACCTCTGGCTGCTCGATGGCAACAACGGTTTTCCCTCCCTGGCACCATTACCCATTTCGGTGCGCTGGTATGGCCCCTTCGCAGCGGCCGACCAATTACTACTGTTGTGCGACTCTGCCATCGTTGATCCCCTTCTCTTACCTGCACCCTGTTACTCTGTGTTCCGTGTCGCTTCTCCCCCTTCGCCCCCTCCCCGCTTTGCGGCGTCKCAACTTTGTGTTCATAAWCACACACGTAGGGAGAGGCAGAAGACACAGAGGATTAGTTATGTTTTTTAGCAACGGCGAATGGTTTTTGTCGAGATGCTATAATTTGTTTTTTTTT